CTCTCTCTCTCTCTCTCTCTCTCTCTCTCTCTCTCTCTCTCTCTCTCCCACACACACACCCATACCCACACAAACGCACACACATCACCAAATAAATGTAATTACATTTAAAAACTTCCAATCAGAAATTTAGTATATTACAGTTTTTTGTTGGAACTCTATAGCCTGCAGTACGTACGGCATCTGATACTGACTGTTCCTACTGAACTGGCTCTTTCAAATTTAGCAAGTATTACACAGGGCAACTTCCACCTTTCTAGCCACTCTTTTCTATTTTGATTAATATGACATATTGGTAGTTTCATTATCATGGTATTAATTGGCTTTAATTGTCTCCAAATTATTATTTTATTTTATTTTAGCTCTATCCCTCTCCAGATAGCTTATAACAATTAAAATAATAGTAATTGAAACCTACATAATTATGGACACAACACAATGCTAAAATGTATTAATAATTCAAGAAAAGCAAAGCCAGTATTAAGGATTGTCTTGGTAATCCATTTATGCATGGTAAGAGTTCCATAAACTCAAGCTGATAGTGTCTCTTCTAGACTACACATAAGTCAGATTATTGGTGGATTTTAGACATCTAATTGGCAAGACATATCCATAGGGAATATGAGAGCCTCAGGCATCTTCACTCTGAAAAGAATTATTTTTTCGTTCCACTCATGAATATAACACGCACTAATAATTATGCAACACAATTTGTACTGCAAGCAGCTACAATTGCCTGTCTGTAGAGAAATAGCTTACAGCTGTGACTGCTTTCTTTGTTTAATAGCCTGTCCTATTGACTGTGTGATCTGGCATTTAATTTTCATTTGGAGGTGCAGTTTTTATTTTGTTTTTGTTTTCCATTTCATTTCAATTTCATGTTTAATTATTCTAATAGCAGTTTTTAATAATGGTTTAGAAATTTGTTCATTGTGATCTCTTCCTCCAATTGCTCATGACTCACAGTGATAATCAGTTTAGCTTTTTCTCATTTCCAAGATCCAATTTATTCTCTATAGCTTATAATTTTAAAAAATGCAATTAGAGCTTTAAAGGCAACTATCTATTATTGGGCTTCCATCATGAACAAATTATGATACTGAAAGATTAAGAGTGCCTCACAAATCCCTTTTCTCTAATTAAAATTTTCTTATAAGTTTTCTAATACCCTTAAGTATTTTAAAATTCAATAACTTGATAGAACATACAATAGTGCTAAGAAGTGCTAAAAGTCTTACCCTAATTTAAGATGTTGACAGTTTTTCAAGTGACAATATGGAAAAGCATTGGCTAAATAAATATCCAGCAGTCATTTTAGTGAAGGATCCCCCAAGGCCCAGGGGATACCATTCAAGTATACAATTTACATTAGCTATTAAAAAAGGAAGGATAAAAAATGACTTATTGTGAAAATATGAAATCATACTTAGATGCAAATTTCTTTGGAATCATGTTATACCATGAAGAAGAAACTGTCTTCTCCATGGCACAAGTAAGGAAAGGAGACTGAATTTTCATCCCTTGTCAAACATCTCAGCTGTGAAGCAAGAATAGGATGGCATTTTATTTCTCTAGAAAGTTCTGGGGATCCATCCCATAAACAGTCACCAAACCCAGACACTATTGAGGATGCCCAAGAAGTGCTTGCCTAATAATAGAAGCCTAATATAGCTGTTTCCTGAGAGTCTATGCCAGAGCCTGACCAATATAGAGGGAATGCTTGCAGCCAAACATTGGAGTGAGCATGAGGTCCCCAATGGAGGAGTTAGAGAAAGGACTGAAGGAGGTGAAGGGGTTTGAAACCCCATAGAACAAACAATAATATCACCTATCCAGATGCCCCCAGAGCTCCCCCCAGAGCTCCCAGGGCATACACATGGAGGGACCTGTGGCTCCAGCTGCATATGTAGCAGAGGATGGCCTTGTCAGGCATCAACGGGAGGAGAGGCCCTTGGTCCTGTGAAGGCTCAATGCCCCAGGGGGAATTTGAGGGCAGGTAGTCAGGAGTAGATGGGAAACACCCTCAGAGAAGTAGAGGAGGGCAGATGAGATAGGGGGTTTGTGTGTGTGTGGGGAGGGGGGACTGGGAACAGGGATAACATTTGAAATATAAAGAAAATATCCAATAAAAGAAAAAGAAAAAAAGACTTAGGTTACGGAACTGGGAAGATGGCTCAGCCAGTGAAGTATGTGGCATGCATCTTGTCATGCAAGATGAGTACTTGAGTTTGGACCCCAGACTCTATATAAAATGCTGGACACAATGGGTTGTGCTTGTAAGTCAAGTGCCTTGGAGGTGGAGGCAGGGGATCCCTGAAGCTTGGTAGTTAATCAGTCTAGACTGATTGGTGAGCTCCAAACTACTGAGAGAGGCTGGCTCAGATGAAATCAGGCAAATTCAGATGATAGAGCCTGCCTTTAAAACTAAAATCCAGGGTATTTCTGAGGAATATGCCTAAAGTTGATGTCTGGCCTCCACATGCATGCACTTAAACACTTACACACACACACACACACACAAACACACACACACTCAGAGAGAGAGAGGGAGGGAGGGAGGGAGAGAGGGAGGGAGACTGAGAGACTGAGAGACTGAGAGACTGAGAG